ATTGTAGGCTACTCTCACAGGAAACAGTCCTCAACCTCCGCAAAATGTGCATCACACATCTGAATATTTGGGTTGAAGTGTTCTGGAACAGTGTTGTAAATACAACTTAACCACTGATTTCTATTCGTGACCTCTTTTGGAAGACCAAACGTTGAAAGCTGATCCGGCGATCCACAGCGAAGTTGATGTATTTCCTCAGCGACCAGCACGGATCAGCTCCAGGCATGATGAAGCGATATCGTCCTCTTTTGGAAGGCCAAACAAAGTAGTTTCGCTTTCACAACGAAACACACTGCGCCTTCACGACATGGCGGCGGCAGCAAAAATACTACAGTGAGAATAAAAGCTACACCTTCTTTCTTTGTGTGAACATTTGGGCGGCATTATGCAAATCTTCCCACATAGTGATGTAGACATGTGGGGGCGTGTTAGAACGAGCCGTTTTAGGTAGGCGTGGTTGACTCTTAAATTTTATAAAGAATATCTCTTTGGATTTGAGACTTTAGTCTTTGCAACTTTACAGATCTTCTTTATGCACCAAGAGCTTGTAACACTCCAAAGAGAAAGGAAAAATTGAAATCGCATCATATGACCCCTTTTAAGGATGTTCATGCTGCTTTTTTTCAGTTAAACAAGACTCAACAGTAATTGGGCCTAATAGGGTGCAAAAATGGCTAAAAACACCATAAAATTATCTTAAATAATTTGAAAATACTCTATATGACTTGTACGCTACATTCAATGTACTTAAAATATACTGTGTAAGTTGTATATTAATATATTTATATGATTGTTTTAATGACTTTTAAGGTGTCTTTTAAGATGTTTTTGACCTTGATGACAAATATTTTTGGAGACTATTTTACAACATAAACACTAGTGTTATTTCAATCTGCAAAACACAAACAAACAAGCACAAGGGAAGCACACTGATTACCTGTATGATGTTTTGTTTGCAGGACTGGTAGAGTCTTTGAAGACCTTTAGAAAACTCATTCTCTGTTGACAATATAGTGGAAAATAGAGTCGTAAAGAACAAATAAAATGACCCAGTCCAGGTGGATGAGTTTGAAATGCATTTATATTAAGAATATATTACCGGGATCCATTTAAAAGAGAGACAGACACATGCATTTCAAAAATCACCAAACAGGTGAAGGAAATGTCATTACCGAGAGCGATTCTCTTGTCTACGTAGTTGATGATGTCCTTCATGTATTTGGCGATAGATTTGGCGTAATTCAGAGCCGAGTCCACGCCGCCTTCACTGCGCTGCAGGAGAATATCAACTTCCCGTGGACTCACTGCTGACACACACGGTACACATCAGCCATCCCATACATGAACAAACAACACTTCAAATTTAAATGAAAAATATACAACAGCTGTGTTCCGAATGGAATACGAGAGTAATGCATACTACATACTGAGCCGTATATAGTGTTTTACTGTGAATAAATTCTATGCAAGTATGCAGATGTAAAAATAAATGTTTCAAAATAAATAGTAGTACACTACATTGTTGTCACATGACCACATTATAATTCATTTGAGTGATGTCCGGTTATTATCACAGAAATAAATAGTTATTTTGCGATTTTTTTTAATAATTTTGTGTTTAAAAAATATAGATAGATAGACAGACAGATAGATATTACATAAACTTAAATTATTGCATATAATTCATTTTTAATTAATTGTATGCAATAATTGAACAATTTATTTGACAAACTAACAAAAACAAATGAAAATAAATAAACAAAAAGACTAAATAAATAAATATTATTTTATATTATATTATATACAATTTTCCAATATTTTTTCCAGGATATTTTTCCAGGACAAACTTTTTCAATATTGAACCGTTTATCTGTTCACATTATATGCTAAAACCCCCAACCCTCAATATATATATATTAGAGCCCGACCGATATATCGTTTAGCCGATATTATCGGCCGATATGAGCCTGTCGTCGATATATCGGAATCGGCGAATATTTTACAGAACATATAACGCAGATTAAATGCTTCTGAATGGTGTAATTACTTAGTTTGTCCAGCAGAGCGCACTCCATTGTTTGCTACTGGCGACCCAGGTCAGTGTAGGGTAGAGATGAGCGGATGAGCTCAAACTTCACCCAAGTCCGCTGCTTCAGATTATCTGCCCGCCACCCACCCGCACCTACATTTGATCATCACATTACAATAATTCTAATTCTTAGTTTGCATGATGATGTTTGCATGATGATATGATGAATGGATGGCTCATTTTTAACAGCAGATTCAGTGACGTTAGAGACTAGAGCTGATCTGCGCATCACGGCACGCGTCTGCGGCGCATTAAAGCCTGTGTTACGGCCACCAGAGCTGATCGCACCTGGACTGGTGTTTATACTGGCCGCGCCACGGCCTAGAGCTCATGCTTATCACATCGGTCACATCGCGCGGCGAGCTTATCATATTCGTTTGCTACAGTAGTAGGGCCCTATGATTTCCGCGATGCAGAAAACATGAACGGAATCGCGGAATCCAGTCATAAAAACGGAATTTACTGTAAAACACGGAATTTCATGGAATTTGTCTTATTTTGGATGAATAAATAAAAAACAGGTCAGTACATATATATATATATATATATATACAGTGGGTACGGAAAGTATTCAGACCCCCTTAAAAAATGATATATATATATATATATATATATATATATATAGTGTTCCATTTGTGTTATTTAAGTTATTTATAATCAGTGAAGTGAAGTTTACTGTTAAGTGCACTGATGCCAGACTCCTTTTGAATAATAAAGTTTATTGTTAAATTGTTAAATACCCTGCCTCCACTACATAGGCCTATGTTTGTCACATCATTATAAGTGTTTGATCACCACATTTGAGTTATGATTGCAAAAAATGTGTTTATGTAGACTAAATACTGTATTCTATATACAGAACCAGTCAAAAGTTTGGACACACGAATGGGAAGTGTGTCCAAGCTTTTGACTATTCTGTACTTTAATATAGCCCATACAAAGAATATTGGCCGATATATCGGTATCTGTCTTTTTTACTCCCTAATATCGATATCGGCACCCAAAAAACCCATATCGGTCGGGCTGTAATATGTATATATATATATATATATATATATACACACACACACATACAATTATACACATCTCAAATTAGAAGTCAAGCAGGAGATTAAAGTTCTCAGCTCTCAGTTAAAATCACAGCTGATATCCTTTCATGTTCGATCATTACACTAGAAATGGTATCTCAGTATCTCACGCAGTGTGCTCTGTTGTACACTGCACACTCTTGAAAATGTATTGTGTTCTGTGCATACAGAAAAATTAGCCTATAGGGCACCCTATGCATTCTACGTACTTTCAAAAATAGTAGTCTGTATGCCATTCTATGCATTACTAAAGACAATAAAAGAGGCATTCACTCACTGCAGTCCTGATGGTCGTATTTTCCTCCTCCTTCAGGACCCTGACCTGACGACACCCTGTACAGGTCCTCCATCGACTAAACACACACAGCAAAGGGACAGCTAGTTATGACATTTTAAAGGAAAAAAATTATGTGCATTATGAAATTAAATGGTGTGGATTTTGAGGCGAGGTTAAAGTCAGATACATGTGGTGAGATTTTAGTAGAGTTCATATCACTTCTTTCTCTGAGGGCTGTTGGGTAGTTTTGGCTCTTCCATTGTAGTATTACTTCACCTTATATCTTGTACTATTGAGGAGGCAGTAACTGAACACACTCTCCTAAAATACTCTTGTCATCATATGCAATGCAGCGTTTTTGTCAGCCAAATCCCTTTGACCTAAACTACTTTCTTGAAGTCGTCCTGAGATTTTAAAGTTAATCTTTCAACAATTTAACAACACATTTGATTCTTTGATGTTGGTTAATGGTCACATGACATGTAGGTAATCAAATAAAACATTTAATCTTTTTTCTTTGTTTTATTTTGCCTGCTAAATTGTTCATTTATTTTAATTTTATATTTTTATGATTTAATTAATGAGCTTTTCATCAACTCAAAATCCCAGTCCAGGAAACCCTGAGCTAGAATGAATGTAAAAAATTATGATATATTTGCATGAATATTTATTATATTATTATACATTTATTATAAATATTAAATATTTAGTTAAATCCTGCTGTACATTTCTATGTTTTAGTTAGGGTATATTTTAGTAAATAATTCAACTGTTTATTAATTTATTATTTTACGACATCAGAATCAAAGGCCAACTCGAAAATAATACGATTTTAAAAATAGTCGTAATAACAATACTTCAATGAATTGTATACAATAATTTAACAATAGTGTTTTTACAAACAATACATAAATAAAAATTATATATAATCTTTAAAATATTTAATAATATATTATTATATTATTATAATATTTGATAAAAAATTATAATATTTTCTTACTAATTATTTTTTATATTTAAGTTTATCTGTTCACATTAATGTAGTCAATCTAACTGCTTATTTACTCCAAAACCCTCACTGTTTTTGCACCAAAAATAAATGTATTATATCATTGAAGTGTTAAATTTACATTAAAATAACATTGCCCTTTTAAGTATCTTTCAGTATTAAGCTACTTTTGTTATTAGCTTGTAGTGCAGTCCTTCTTTAAAAAAGTTTCTTGACTAAAACTGAACTGCTTTAAATAATGAGTAATCGCTAAAGTAGCATGACAAACACTGTTCAACAACTAAAGTGCATTTTAATGAAGGAAGTGAGACTTCCAGTTGTTGTAGTTCTGGGAAATGATTTGAGTGTCTCTTCTGGACATTAAGATGATTCATTTGTCATCAGTGTCATTCTAAGAAGTGTTTCTTGAAGACTCACGTTGTCAGGGACTCTGTCGAGTCTGTATAGAGGTGCGGAGGAAACAATATGCTTGCAAGACAACGCAGGAAGCAACCCACACACACACACACACACACACACACGTTTCCAACAACATCCGCACACACACAATATATATATGTGTGTGTGTGTGTGTGTGTGTGTGTGTTTTCAATAACATTTTAATAATAGTAACTTTATTAGGACCATGGAAACTAAAATACACAAATATGCAACAAATCGTCAAAAATTGTGCAGGGCTTTTACTGTGAGGTTGCCCTTATATACACACAACACTAAATCACATGATTGCCCACATGACCACAAAAAAAAATAAAAATAAAATAAAAAGTAAAAAAAAGTCAGGGCAATCAACAAATCATGTAAGAAAAGGGCAAAAAGCAAATGACATAAAAGTGCCAATATATTGTAGAGTCGAAACCGAATGTTTAAACTTGGTTTGGACTCTACAATTTATTGGCATCGAAGAATACACACCGGTGCAGGCATTTTGACACTCCGTGCTTTTACCGTTTTAGGCGCGCCACCGAAGACAAATCTACTATGCTTGTCCGTGTCCCACTCAGACCTCGCGCGCAGAATACATCCAGTCAGAAGCGGATTGAGTTCTGTTTCGCGGCTTTGAGTTTTCAATACTGTCAGTCTTTTTAATATCAAGAATGTCCCGCTCTTTACTTTCTCATTAATTTACATTCCTTTATTAATATAATAATGCTAACAGTCCCACCCGCAGAAAGCTGCGCGGGAAAAGCGAAAGTAGCCAGCGAAATGTATAACACATATAAAAAATGTTTCATTCATTTAATTTAAAAAAATTTTGGGTAATGATTCACATCTATATTTTTTAACTTGACCCAATGAAAAATAAATAACTTGCCCTAAGGCATAATGAATTTCAGTGTATGTTTCAGTCCTGTCACTTTTTTTTTTTTTTACATACTTTTACACTTTTTCTGCTGTTCAAAAAATCTGCAGGAGTGCAGGAGCTGTACGTTACCATAGAAATGTCAATGGTTTGCTCGTGACTCTCGCGAACAGCACTGAACACGCACTTTGGCCGGTACAGAAAATGTATTATTATTTTACATGTATATGTAGAGCTTATGTAGGCTTTACAACAAAGGAATTGCTGATCTCTAGTGATGTCTAATTTGTGTAATAGATCATTTGTTAGTAAAGGGTGAGAGTTCTGGCGATCCACATGATTTTTGATTCCACATGACTCAGGTGTGGCTCGTGAGCCATAGGTTCCCGACCTCTGCTCTAGAGGATATATATTATAAATTATACATATATAATTCTATAATAATATTAAAAGTAAAATGTATACATTATATGTTTATAGAATTCAAATATAATTAATTACATATAATTACTTACATTATAAGTGGACTTTAAGGAAATATATACGTACATATATAAAATATACACAATTTTACATAAAAAACAAAACAAAAAACAGTCCAAGAGTGCACATCAATTAGGCCAAAAAAGCTCAATGTGGGTGCTCTACCACACAAAAATAAGAATGAAAACATCAAAGTAGGCACACCACAGCTCCAGAGAAGTATTTAATTATGTTCTCACCACAGGTGACGTTTCGAGCTTAAACGCTCTTCATCAGACAATGTACATACATGACAACGCCCTTATACACACAACACTATATCACATGATTGCCCACATGACCACAACATTTTTTTTTTTAAAAGTTTTAAAAAGTCAGGGCATTTAACAAATCATGTAAGAAAAGGGCAAAAAGCAAATCACATAATAAGTGCATTATAAGTGGCCTTCAGGAAAATATGTATAATATATTAATATATCAAGAGAAATACATATATTTGAATTAATATTACATTAAACAGATTTAATGTAATATACGTAATATATAAACAAACTTTTAAATCAAATAATTTTAATAAAATGTAATTTATTAAAATAAAAATATTTTATTATTATTAATATATATATATATATATATATATATACACACAATTATTTAATAATATTATATTAGGATTAAACGTTAATATATTAATATATAAAGAGAAATACATCATATTAGATTAGAAAAAAATAATTTAATGTTTATATATATAATGTCATTTAAATGCATATAATTATTATTATTGATTGATATTTTATTTAATACAATTACATTTTAATTTATAAATAATAAATGACCAGGTATTCGGTGTGAAAGCAGAGCGACGGGTCTTACTTGCTGCTGAAGGCCACAGCAATTGTCTCAATGGCTTTCTCAAAGTCTTTCTTCTGAGCATCAGTGGTGCCTTCATAACTGAACCCTGACAAACACAGAGAAGAGAACAACTTCACGGTCACAAACGTGCGCTTCTGCTTTGATAACAAATAAAACTAGAAGTGACATCACATTTAGATGCAAAAGTGGAAACACCTGTATTTCAGTTGTGCATGTTTGCATATTATACATGTTTTTCCTTAATAAGATCAGATGCTGGTTGCGTGGTATCTGCTCATATCAGATGTGGCTTTGCTCATCTGATGCTTGTGCTGAGTTATTTGCTTCATGTCATTGCATACATAGGTGAGAGTGTGAGGAAGAGGAACCAATGACAGGATTTGAAGAAGATGAGTTTATCATGGCAGTTGAACTGACCTTTGACCTTTGAGATAAGAGTTCCTGCTGCGGTGAGCGTTTCCACAGTGTTCAGCAGAGGGTACGTGCTGATTACCTGCCGCAAAACACGCAGAACCTCCCCTAAACTCTCGTGAACGGCCTGCCTGCTGCATGGCTCCTCTTTCACTGCAGAGAGATGAGAAAACATCCTGATTCATTCATTTAGGGAGACATCTGGAAGCATTTGGACATGGGAGTTTATTTACGGTTTCAAACAAATAACTTGCTTTTTACATTTTTTTTATCAAATGCAATGCATTCACATCAGTTTAAATGTGTATTAAGTGTCCAGATACTCTGTAAATCACTCCAGAACAGCTCTAACACTGTATTGTACTTTCACCAAAACATGTCAGTTATTTGTCCACTTCCTACCCACCCAGTCCCACAATGTACTTCATTTTGCTTATTACCACAAGAGGAAACTTACATCCACACACATGCACTGATACTACGTGTGTGATAATACGGTCATCTAATGAGTTCATCGGGTTTATCAGATGAAAATGTTCACTGCAATTATTTAAGTTTCACTTTTTGACAAACTCAAGCCATTGTCTACAAATAAAATGTTTTAATAAATGCATAAATCACAGATCTAGATGAACAAATAATTGCCACAGTTTGTGAAGTACTGAATCTTAGAAAAATAATCATATTGAGCAGCTTCTCATTAATGAGTGAATGTGAAGGTAACCATAATTTTACAGCATTTACCCCTTTTTGAATAATTTAAAAATTAAGAAATCTTTTCTTTTTAACTTTTTATTCAACAAAGAATCCTGAAAAAAAGTATCACAGGTTCCAAAAAATATTAAGCACAACTGATAATAAATCAGCATATTATACTGATTTCTGAAGATCATGTGACACAGAAGACTGGAGTAATGATGCTGAAAATTCAGACTTGCATTACTGGAATAAATTATATTTGAAAGTATATTCAAATAGAAAACTATTATTTTAAATCGCAATAATATTTCACAATTGTACTGTTTTTTCTGTATTTTTGATCAAATAAATACAGCTAAATAAATCCTATATAAATGTATCATTGTATGAAATTTATCAGAATTATTCTTTGGAATGAATGGAAATGTATAACTCATGATTGCTCAAAAACAGTCCAGATTTATGAAACCTACATATTTATTTCTTAGAAAACTTACTCTGAATTTCACTTGCATAAAATTTCACTTTCAGATGAAAAAAGTGAGTAATTTTTCATGCTGCAGTAGTTGGTCAACAGGCGTACAATTTCAACAAAATTCAGTCCCAAAAGTGTGTGAGATATGGGGAAAAAGCTAAATATATTTAGCAAAGGTTTTTAACACTAATATAACGTCATAGATAATTTAAGAAACAAACAAATAGTATATGCGATCTAATGGGTCTCCATACATAAACCGCTCCAAAAAGACCCAAACATGAACCGTTTAACTTTTTTTAAATGGTTAATCTCTTAAAAAATAATTGTAAAAAATCTGGAAAAATTGTGTATTTTGAGGGTCTTAAAGTACTTGCAAAGTTTCGTTCCCTTACTAAAAATTAAACAGTTTTGAGTATTTCTTACAGGTCAAAACGGACCCAAATGTGTTATTAAATGTAATTGATTGCTGTGATCAAAGCTGTATTTTCAGCATCAGCGTCTTCAGTGTCACATGATCCTTCAGAAATCCTTCTAATATGCCGATTTGCTTCTCAAAAGCATTTCTTATAATCATCACAAACGGTTTTGCTGCTTCAAATTTTTGTAAATCAAAGTCATTGTAAATCAACGTCAGCAGCCTTGAACAAAGAAAAACCTGGCGTTATCCCATAACGGTTGAGGAAAAGAGCAGGAGTTTGGCTGCTGGAACCGTATCCTTTTCAACAGGACAATGCAAGCTGTTGTTGTGCACGACAAAAGTCCTTGTGTGTGCGTCTGCATGCCTAAATGCATGTTCAGAGTGTGGGTGTTCTTAAAAATGCGAAAAACACAAGAGTGTAACATTTCAAACAGTCGTTCCTCTTTGATGCAGCGCTGGACTCCTACACACGTGTGTAACTCAGACTATTTAATATGTTGTGAAGAAAACACGAGCGTGCAAAACTCCCTGCCGCGATGCCAGAGTTTTCTGGGTGGTTGCAAAAGCGATGTGTTTTACAGGAGAAAGTGAGGGGAATGTTTTATGCACGTACATGTTGATGCACGCATGTCATGCAGATCCGAACAGATTCCCTCAAGCGCATTACTCAAACTGTCCATCTGAAACTGTCCGGCTCTTCTCAAATGAATCTGCAGGTCATGAGATGATGACAAAGACAAACATCATGCCATCTTCCCAAAAAAGCCCCCACTTCTCACTGGCATCAGCTTGAGAGTGATTAATAGCTGACTGCTGTAAGGAGAAACTGTGAGGACCTGTCCAGGCCTGCATGCTGCAGTCATTTTGTGGCGGTGAGCAGTCATTCTCTGGCTTTTACAGCTCTGCCACGGCTGACAGAAGCTCCACTGCTAAGGAAATGCTATTTAATATGTTGTGAAGAAAACACGAGCGTGCAAAACTCCCTGCCGCGATGCCAGAGTTTTCTGGGTGGTTGCAAAAGCGATGTGTTTTACAGGAGAAAGTGAGGGGAATGTTTTATGCACGTACATGTTGATGCACGCATGTCATGCAGATCCGAACAGATTCCCTCAAGCGCATTACTCAAACTGTCCATCTGAAACTGTCCGGCTCTTCTCAAATGAATCTGCAGGTCATGAGATGATGACAAAGACAAACATCATGCCATCTTCCCAAAAAAGCCCCCACTTCTCACTGGCATCAGCTTGAGCGTGATTAATAGCTGACTGCTGTAAGGAGAAACTGTGAGGACCTGTCCAGGCCTGCATGCTGCAGTCATTTTGTGGCGGTGAGCTGTGAATGAGTGGCCTTCTCTGGCTTTTACAGCTCTGCCACGGCTGACAGAAGCTCCACTGCTAAGGAAATGTGATGAACCCCTACACACCTGTGTATCTCAGACAAATCCACATGTTGTGAAGCAAACACAAGCTGTGTTCGTCTGTGTAAAACTCCCTGCAGCGATGCCAGAGCGTTCTGGGAGGTTGCAAAATGGTAATAGTGATGCAAGTCACTGTTTAAATTCGAAGACAAACATGACAACACTATGTGACTTCCCACAGGAAGATGTTATCGCTCAGAGTTTGCTCAGTTCTCTGTTACGCTCTATTTAATATCAACCTCGCCTCAGATGCCTCTCCTACAATTCATGGGGAAAAATCTGAATATTTTAATATACTAAAAATTTTTTTGGGGGGGGTTCCCGAACTGGGGTTCTTGAGTTGATGAAAAGCTATAATTAACTAAATCATAAAGTCATAAAAAAGTAATTTAAAGTCATAAAAAGCCATTTTAAAATAAAATAATCAAAATAAAACATTATTTTGACCATTAACATCAGAGAAACGTGAACATGCAACTGTTAAACAGTATTTATGTGCTATTATATTTTTATAAGTATTTTTTATTAGTGTTATTTATATACTATTGTTTTTATTAACATTTTGAATTAACTTTTATTTTAATATTCGGTATCGGCCAAAATTTTCATATCGGTGCATCCCTACTTTTTTTGTTTGTTTTATTAGTAAATATTACTAGGTTTATTTTTCATTCCCGAACTGGGGTTCTTGAGTTGATGAAAAGCTATAATTAACTAAATCATAAAGTCATAAAAAAGTAATTTAAAGTCATAAAAAGCCATTTTAAAATAAAATAATCAAAATAAAACATTATTTTGACCATTAACATCAGAGAAACGTGAACATGCAACTGTTAAACAGTATTTATGTGCTATTATATTTTTATAAGTATTTTTTATTAGTGTTATTTATATACTATTGTTTTTATTAACATTTTGAATTAACTTTTATTTTAATATTTTCTATTTTCATTTATTTATAGTTTTTTTTAAAGTTTTTTTTTGTCTTTTTTTGTTTGTTTTTAAATATTACAAGGTTTATTTTTCATGTCAGTTTTGTTTACCTCTATGTTATGGGACCATTAACCGACATCAGTGACCCATGTTCAAGGGAATGTGTTGTTAAACATTATAATAACTTTATTAATATTTGGAACTCACATTTTTCATTTTACTTTTAGTTTTAAGACTTTTTTTATGACTAAATTTGGTAATGGGAGAGTAAAAATATTTTTAAAACGTACACCGTTCAAACTAGGCTGCTTATGTTGAAGTGTTTGGGATGTGGCTTTTAATGATGAGACCTTTTTTGTAATCAGGCTCTCAAAAAGTATATAACAATTTGGATATAGATTTATCGGCCAACATATCGGTTATCGGCTTTCAAAAATAAAGAATAATCGGTTATCGGTATCGGCCAAAATTTTCATATCGGTGCATCCCTACTTTTTTTGTTTGTTTTATTAGTAAATATTACTAGGTTTATTTTTCATGTCAGTTTTGTTTACCTCTATGTTATGGGACCATTAACCGACATCAGTGACCCATGTTCAAGGGAATGTGTTGTTAAACATTATAATAACTTTATTAATATTTGGAACTCACATTTTTCATTTTACTTTTAGTTTAATTTTTTGTAATTTTGTTTTGTGCTTTTGTAATTTTTTCTGTAATATTGCTATTTATATTATTTCAGTTTCAGTTTTTATATCCAGTTAGTAATTTTAGTGCTTCATCTTCAACTTACTTCAGTTAGTGGCCAAGGCAACATTTCTAATTTTCATTTAGTTTATGTTTTTCCATCTAACATTGATATTTTATTAAATGTTTTAACAAAAATGTTTGTAATTCTTTTAGTTATCTATAATAACCCTGTTGTTAAATGATTGTTATTTTATCTTAAAATCTCAGGAATATTTTATTTCAAAGAGTTTCGGCTGACAAAAAAGTTTGGGAATCTCTGGGTTGCGCCAACGGCTGAAATAAAGATTTGCCTTGAGATGACATTGGAAACATCACTGTTGCAACCCTTCAAGCAGGGCAGATGTAAACAGGAAGTAGAGCTGATGAAAATAGCGACAGTTTAAGGAAGTCCACAAGGCCTGAGGAGACTCAAATGACTTCTGCTCTTTATAAAGCAGACAGTGCTGACGTGATTCATCTCTCTCCTGCCCTCTGCGCTGAATAAAGTCAGACAAGGTGCACTGCGCTCAGTCTACCAGACATGCAAGAACCGACAGTGATGGACATCACTATCTGAAGTCGAATAAGATGATTTGAGAAAAAAAATCAGCAAGTAAATTTCAGTCCGTTTCTAACACCAAGCCATTGTATGGTTCAGAAGACTTGAAACGGACTACTTTTATGATGCCGATTTGCATGTTTACCAACTCAAACATTCTTCAAAACATCTCAGTTTGTCAACAGTCCCTCTTAAATTTGCGCACCACCACCTATATCTGATCACATTTCACAAAATGAGTATACATGAAGTCTAAAAGAGGAATTTCAAAGCCTCACTATTATACCACATCACCACATTTCTGCATGAGGTGAGCAGCAGCATCGTGAGAAAAGTGCTCGGTAGGCATCTGGCCTTCTCTCTGTAGGGTTCTGCCCATGAAACACTCTTCTAAGGGAAGGTGGAGGGGAGCAGCCCAGCGGACGTGTGTAATCTCAAACTGAAGGCTGCAAAGAAAACATCTGACGCACGGTTCCTCTTCCTTCCTCTCTTGCACCATGGAAACCCAATGAAAAAACATGCGATACAAATGCCTATTCCTGAACAAGACTCGAGGGGAATCTGAAGACTTTGTGCCAGTTACATCTAACTGGCTTTAGATATATGATATGATATTTAATGCTAGTTTTAATTGATGTAACACACGGGCATGAGTGTCTTATTCCTTCTACAAAAAACAGAAACAGAAATATGTTCAAATAACAAAACAATAAAACAATAAACCCAACAGTGAATAAATACTTCAATTAACTAACCAACAATTCTTGACAAGAAATACTGAAAATGTTAAATATTTAATATATAATTTAAAAAAACTCTTCTAAAATATTTTAAATATTGTGTATAATAAATTATATTTATTATTACAAAAGAATTATATTTATTTTTTATTTTTATATTTTAATTGCAATTTGAGTAAATATTGTATACAATAAATTATTTTACACAATATTCACTATAATTACAATTAAAAATATAATACTGTATCTTTATTTTTTAAATATTAAATATTTCAATATGTTCAATTGCAATTTGAGTAAATATTGTGTACAAATAACTTATTTTACACAATATTTACTAATCCTACAATAATCTTTATTTTTTATTTAAATATCAAAATGTATTTGCAAATTCAGTTAATACTGTGTATAAAAATATTTTACACAATATTGACTAATATTACAAAAATAATGTATTTACTTTTTATTTAAATATTTCAACCTTTTTAGTTGCAGTTTGACTAAATATGTTTTTACACAATATTTACTTATCAAAAGTATTCTTTAATTTTAATTATCTATTAATTTATTTACTTAAATATTAAATATTTACCATTGTAATTGCAAATATTATGTACAATAAATTATCTTTACATTTACAATATTTACTAAAAGTATTATATTTATTTATTTAAATATTAAATATTTTTAATTGCAATTTGAGTAAATATTGTCTGCAATTAAATATTTACTTATATTACAATCAAAAATATTTGAAAACAGAAAATGTATAATATTCAACTTAACAATCGCCTATCACAGACTTCATTTACAAAACGTACAAACACCAAACATCCAAAGCTATTTTATCAACTCAAAATGATTTCTAAAAATCCCTTTTTGAACCGAACCCCCCCAAAAATCTCCTACCTTCTCCCATAACCATGTCCTTTAGTTTCTCCACAGCCTCTGCGAAGCGGGCGACGTCTCGCAGCAGCGAGGGAATGTCCTCCACCTCGATGACCGATGTTTCCGCAGACTCCGCCGCATGTCCGTAGGTGAGAGCGGCCCGCACGTAGCCCTTATGGAAGCCCCACGTCCCCGAGGTGTGGAAGGCGAAGCTGACGGCGCTGGCGTGACGGCTGAGACCCGAGGGCCGCTTCAGGGTGCCGACAGGTGGACTGCACACTGTTAGCTTGCAGTGGGAGGACGGTGTTCCCGGGCAGGATAAGGGACCCGGATCAGGAGGGGCCAGCGTGCAGGAGCCATCGATAGTGTCTTTGAGAGAGTGTTCCTGAAGAATGGACAACTGGGTTTAACATGGGATGGAAAGAGAGGGACGGCGTGTAATGACGGATGATTATGGAGATGGATATTACCAACAGGGTTAATGCTACATGGGAAATACTAGTGTTATGAATATGGAGGTGATTGAAACAGAGTCAAGTTGAAAACAAATCCAAATCTAGTCTGCTTTATTTGTTAATTATTTAACGCCATATCAGGAGCAAAGGCTATTTTATGACAAACCCAGAGTATCAGAAATTTAAATCATCATAATAACAAAAACCCTAAATGAATCAGTGTTATTTTAGTATCATCGAGATACTATTATAGTTTTTATTAATATTTTGAATGCTATTTATTTAATTAATGATATTTCAATATTTAAAGTAAAGTTTTAACTTTGTGTTTTTGTCACTTTTAATATTACCTACTTTATTTATCTGTTGTCTGTTTAAAACTCATTTAGTGGTGATTGTACTTTAGTACACCACTAAACTAAATGAAACCTAACCAAACTAAATTAGGCTTTATTCACTAGTGTTATGAATATGGAGGTGATTGAAACAGAGTCAAGTTGAAAACAAATCCAAATCTAGTCTGCTTTATTTGTTAATTATTTAACGCCATATCAGGAGCAAAGGCTATTTTATGACAAACCCAGAGTATCAGAAATTTAAATCATCATAATAACAACAACCCTAAATGAATCAGTGTTATTTTAGTATCATCGAGATACTATTATAGTTTTTATTAATATTTTGAATAAGTTTGAAAACAGAATTAATGCTATTTATTTAATTAATGATATTTCAATATTTAAAGTAAAGTTTTAACTTTGTGTTTTTGTCACTTTTAATATTACCTACTTTATTTATCTGTTGTCTGTTTAAAACTCATTTAGTGGTGATTGTACTTTAGTACACCACTAAACTAAATGAAACCTAACCAAACTAAATTAGGCTTTATTAACTGAAAATCAGAGTGAACATTATTCAGAATTACTACTTTTGTTCTGCACAAAAGAAAAAAGTAAATCATGTCCATATGAAGGTGATTAAATGACAGAATTTTCTTCAGAAAATTCTTTACCACATTTTAAAGGGGTCCTATTATGCTTTTTCACTTTTTCAACTTTAGTTAGTCTGTAATGTTGCTGTTTGAGCATAAAGATCTGTGAAGTTACAAAGCTCAAAGTCCACTTCAAAAGGAGATATTTTATTTAACAGAAATCACTTTTCAAAAACTACAACGAATGAATCGTTTGGACTACAATGCATATTTTCCGGGATTTGTGATATCACAAATATCGATGAATAGGACCAGACCTGGTTGAGCTGCACTAGAGAAGGCAACGAGTGTTATCACAATGTTGGAGACACGCTAGCTTTCCCAAGGCAGACTAACTTAGAGTGGTTACAATCATCCGGGTTTAAATTGTGCTCAAATTGATTTGATATTGACGCAATATTCAGCGGCTATGGTAAGAGGCATGACATTTCCCGAGTGCTGCCAATCACAGCACACACTGGCCCAGCTAACCAATCACAGCACACACTGGCCCAGCTAACCAATCACAGCACACACTGGCCCAGCTGACCAATCACAGCACACACTGGCCCAGCTAACCAATCACAGCACACACTGGCCCAGCTAACCAATCACAGCACACACTGGCCCAGCTAACCAATCACAGCACACACTGGCCCAGCTAACCAATCACAGCACACACTGGCCCAGCTAACCAATCACAGCACACACTGGCCCAGCTAACCAATCACAGCACACACTGGCCCAGCTAACCAATCACAGCACACACTGGCCCAGCTAACCAATCACAACTCACACTGGCCCAGCTAACCAATCACAGCGCACACTGGCCCAGCTAACCAATCACAACACATTTCGTATTTCAGAAGGCAGGCCTTCATTTGATACAGGAACTATTTAAGCTGTTCATGTTGTAATAATGTAAAATATGTATAAAATAAAGTGTTTTTCGAACAACCTAGAATGAGAGCCTGTTCTAGTACATCCCCCAAAACAAAAGCAAGACTTTGTAAAAGAGCATAATAGGACACTTTTAAAGTGACAGTTCACCCAGATATTATCATTCTGTCAATTTACACACCTTCATGTGCTTCCAAACCTGTATGACCTTCTTTCTTCTGTGTAATATAATATACGATTTGACATTCAACCCTAGTATTTTTCTAAATATCTTAGTTTGTGAAGTTTTGGACTGACAGTGAGTACTATCCCTTTAGGTTCTCTTGCTATCAAGACACCATTTTGACTAGTGCTGGGCGGTATGACCAAAACCGTATATCACGGTATTTTCCATAATTATACCGGTTTCACCGTACATGACGGTATTTTTTTTCTCCATGCATGACCGGGTGTGACTGTTCAGGTTTCTCGAGTTCAACCATATGGTTCCATGGAGATTCAACAAAGTAATCACAGGTTCTTCAGATCAGTGCATCACCTGTTAACAGTAAAAGTGAAGCACTTCTATTCTATTCTTGTTTCCATCTGGAACTGTACAACTAAACGGTTCTTGTTCTGATACGACTCTTGCATGACTTCCTCTCAGTCTATTTCTGGTATTGTCTGCGAAACAAAGAGCAAGACGTACTCAAGTGTTCTTCACCACCAGTGACAGTCTTACAGCAATGCTGATCAACAACATGCACCATTAAACAACGAATTAACTACACTTCGCTCATGAAACAACTCGCTCGTTTGAACCGATTCTTCTAAATGATTCATTCGAAGCGCAATGTGTTCGCTCGACGGGTGTGATCCGGTTCACTGAAATGAATCACCCGAACAAACTAATTCGTTACAAATGAATCGTACCTCCCACACATGCCCAATTCTATACAGAATAGAGTACATTTACTCTTTCAAACATAATTATGTTGTGAACTAACGTAACGTGACTTGAGGAAATCAACAGGATGAATGAGAACCCATCTGTTAAGCGTTTAAAACAAAGCAAATATTGTTTTCTGGGAGATTAAACATGTTTTCTCGCCTAAAAACAGTTTACAGTACTAGCACTAAACTGAACTCGGTTTTTAGTTTTCCTCAGAAGCGCCGTTGGTCTCTTACCGAAGGGTTTTGCGCGGAGTTGCTCTTTTTGGAGGGTGAGGACGCTTTATTTGTCGGCTCCTTCTTCTTTCGAGAGAACATGTTCGCGCCGTTTGCTCCACTTCACTGAAATCGCACTAAAACTTTAGGAATGAGCCAAAAAAAGTTGTGAAAATGTCTCCTCAGGCGACTGACAGTTACTTCCCCATCATCATCATCATCATCATCATCATCGTTCAGTAGCTCGCGCTGGCCTTCGCTTCCTGCTGCGGCGCGCGCCGGTCTCGAGGAAGCACAGGTTTCTGACTTTGTGTCGAGGTAAAGGACTTTAAAGGAAAAAGTCATTATTTTTGGTACACAATATAATGAGGTTCGCTTCTCGGACCTCCAATTGTCATGTGACCAGTGTTGGGGAGTAACTAATTAAATTAGCCTAATTACAAAATAAATGTAATTAGTTACAGTTACTGAGAAAATGTCACTGCGGGTGAATAGGGTAAAAAATAATAGTTATTGCATTACCTAGCTGATTGATTACATTGATAATTGCAAACAAAATATTAGGTTGCATATGCGCTAATTTGCATACATTTCTAGTACAAAAATCTGAACACTGGATGAAGTCAGTTTCAAAATTCTGGTCTAATTTATTTTTTTGACATGTGACCTGGACTCCAAAACCAGTCATAACAAGCAGCAGGGGTATATTTGTAGCAAGAGCCAACAATGCATTGTATGGGGTCAAAAATTATCATTTTTTTAATGCCAAAAATCATTAGGATGTTAATTAAAGAAAGATAAAGTTCCATGAAGATATTTTGTAAATTTTCTACCGTAAATATATCAAAACTTAATGTTTGATTAGTAATATGCATTGCTAAGAACTTCATTTGCACAACTTTAAAGATGATTTTCTCAATATTTAGATTTTTTGCACCCTCAGATTCCAGATTTTCAAATAGTTGCATCTCGGCCAAATATTGTCCTATCCTAACAAGCTTATTTATTCAGCTTTGAGATGGTGTATAAATCTCAATTTCGATAAATTGACCCTTATGACTGGTTTTGTCGTCGAGGGTCAGATATTAGAGTCAAATGTTTTTACAGAGGGAATTTTGGGTATCTCATTGTTATTTTTTTTCACTTCATAATTCAGAAAATACTTAGAACAGACAGAAAGCAATACATTTTCACAATTTTGGGGGGAATAAAATTTATATAATCAAGCAAATTATATATAATTCCCTTTGTAAAAGCCTTCAGGAGACAGGAATACAAATGTAAAGTTTGGTGTAAGTGCTACTGAAGTGGAGATTTATGGCTCAGTGTAGGAGAAAAAACTCTTTTTGAGAAAACGGCCTTTAAAAATATAGTGTAATTGAAATCTATTGACACAAAATAAATAAAGTGCTGTAAAAGAAACACTTAACAGTGTCTTTTGAATGTTTTCTGTCCACTAGTCTGAAAAAACACTTTATGAAAAACCAAAAAGCCCAAAATCTCAAACTTGACAGCTGCATGAAAAAACTGTGTTTTTGCCTGCAGTGCCTCCCCTTAATGTAAAAGAAGTGATTATTTTTGGTACACAATATGGTGAAGTTCGTTTTGCGGAACTCAAATTGTCATATGACGCCTCTAACCGGTTTAGACGATCAATAAAATCATTTGTATTCATTTAAATAAAGCGTTATTTTAATTAAAACAAAAATGTGCATTCATTAATTTAATAAAAAAATAATTACAAATGTGTACATGTAAATCTATGTAAACAGATTTAGATGGTATGAGATGGTAATACCATAGTACAGAAGCGGAATGAGCATATTCATATTCTACGATACTCCAATACCAAATGTATGCTACGAAGAAGCGTTTTTGGCATTTAGGTGTCTTTACACAGTTTGTTAAATGCTGCTCATTATATCTGCTCATATATGCATACTAGGGGCTGAACAGGAATACTTTAGTCTGGCTTTTATGCAGCATTTTATCTTTACACCTTATTATGGGCAGGCACAGAGCATGTTCATATTCTGGTATTAACGTGGTATTTCTTGATTAGCACCTCACGTATTCCCCGGGGGGAAAAAACTAACAAACAAACAAAAACACAGCTTTGCCAAATTTACAATGCAACAGAATTTACAGTGGCACAGAAGCACTTCTGAAGTGGCATCTGTTTAATTGCAGGCACAGAGCAGCTTCAACTCAACTGTGTAAAGATGCTTCTAGAAATAAAACTGACCGACATGGAAAAGAAACATTTTGAACAAACTCTTAAAATTTTATTGTTTGTTAAAAATGATATTGCAGTACAATATATTCCTTCTGTTAAATGTAGAAAACGTTCAGAATGAGTCAAAAGGCACATTTGTTTACACTATTTACAGATCCATCTAAACTCATAAATATTGGGATACAACAAAGAAGCCCAAAGTAAAAGTGCTGAACAGAATTCTAACTGGAAACATTAATAATATAACTATCAACAACAAAACATACAGTCAGTAGCAGTTTGAATAAATGTTTCGTTTTTATTATTAAAGTGTTCATTTGTGATTTCTTTGAATTTTCTGTAAATTCTGGCAAGTTGTCAGGACAAAAGGAGCAGGAACACATCTGAATGGTTGAGTAACTGGAGCCAATCACAGCCTCATGGGAACTGGACTGTTTTGTTCATTACCAATCCAGTTTCGAAACTGCTTGCATAAAATTTATCACAAAAAAAAAAAATCATATCAAAAGCAGAGAACTTGTAGTAATACTCTAGCAATATTCCTATTCAATTCGCATTTTCTCTCATATACTTCAAGTCTAGAATACGGCAGCCAGGCGTGTAGAATACAGTAGTCAGTATCACGCGTCTTTATCTGCGACGGCGCATTCTTTCCCTCGACTTTTCCTGAGATTAAGCACGAACGAGCCTGCAAAAACTGCACAGAAAACTTTGGTGCGATGGGAATCTAGACGCCCGACCCTAAACAGAAAACTGAAATTTCGAGTGAAAGAATACAGTGGGGGAAATATTTATTTGATCCCCTGCTGATTTTGTAAGTTTGCCCACTTACAAAGAAATGAAGGGTCTGTAATTTTTATGGCAGGTTTATTTTAAAGGACAGAGACAGAATATTAACCAATAAATCCAGAAAAAACACATTATATAAAGGTTAGAAATCGGTAAGTATTTGATCCCCTACCAACCAGCAAGAATTCTGGCTCCCACAGATTGGTTATGTGCCTATGTGGAACACAGATTAGTCCTGTCACTTTAAGAAGTTACTCCTAATGTCAGCTGGTTAGGTGTATAAGACACCTGTCCACACAATCTGTATCTTCCATTCTAACCTCTCCCACCACTATTAGCAAGACCAAAGAGCTGTCAAAGCTGGCATTAACTCGACTCGCCGTGTTTGGAGGGAGAGAAATGCTGACTATGACCCCAAGAACAGCATCCCTACAGTTGAGCACGGAGCTGGAAACATTATGCTTTGGGGTTGTTTTTCTGCTAAGGGTACAGGACGACTTCACCGCATTGAGGGGCAAATGGACGGAGCCATGTACTGTAAAATCTTGAACGAGAACCTCCTTCCCTCAGCCAGAACACTGAAGATGGGTCATGGATGGGTCTTCTTCCAGCATGACAATGACCCGAAACATACCGCCAATGCAACAAATGAGTGGCTCAAGAAGAAGCACATTTAGGTCATGGAGTGGCCTAGCCAGTCCCCAGACCTCAATCCTGTAGAAAATCTGTGGAGGGAGCTGAGACTTCAAGTTGCCAAATGACAGCCAAGAAACCTTAAGGATTTAGAGAGGATCTGTAAAGAGGAGTAAACCAAAATCCTTCCTGAGATGTGTGCAAACCTAGTGACCAACTACAAGAAACGTCTTACCTCTGTGCTTACCAACAAGGGTTTCTGCACCAAGTACTAAGTCATGTTTTGCTTGGGGATCAAATACTTATTTCACTCACTGAAATGCAAATCAATTTCTAACCTTTATATAATGTGTTTTTTCTGGATTTTTTGGTTGGTATTCTGCCTCTATACGTTAAAATAAACCTACCATAAAATTACAGACCCTTCATTTCTTTGTAAGTGGGCAAACCTACAAAATCAGCAGGGGATTAAATAAATATTTTCCCCACTGTAAGTAACACGCAGATGCCAGACAGCAGCACAGGGCAGTGCAGTTCGATTTGGTGTCAGGTTGCAGGCTTTGATTCTGTGTTTTGGGAGCAGGAGAAATCAAATAAAACCCTGACAAGGCATTGGAAAAGTGTTTCAACTTCTACATGTGATTATAACAAAGTCTACCTCTACAAATAATGTCCCTTGGATATAAATAGCAACAATAATAATAATAGTATTAATAACAACAACAATAATAATACGAATAGCAATAGCAAAGACGCCAATACATTTGCTTCCATTCCAACTACACGAGAATACAAGACCAAAAGGAAAAAACATTGACCTCATACATACGACCAAATGAACAAACAAACAAATCCGTATCTTTCTCTTAACAAATATAATATTCTTCAAACACAATGCAAAAATATCACTTCTGAACAGATATAAAGAGAATCGCGAGTTGTTCGTGGGGCAGTATTTGATTTTAATAATATTCGTTTGGTTTTTATTGCTAAGTCTCACTCTCGCATGCGTCTCGACGTGAGGTCCAGTGGTTCAGCGCTCGTTCACAACTAAGTCTGCTAATAAATAATTTGATTATTGAGTCCCAAAGCTCACAACGATCCATCCGCGATCTATTATATTTTATAAAATAATCTTTCGTTTGGACAGTGATGTGTCTATACGATACCTGAGAAAGTATTCTGCAGAAAGCGATCTGCTCTTGAGCGGCATCTTCGCTATATCGTGAACGAATCTGTCCCCATGTTCGGATTATTGAAATGTAGAAAGATTATGAGAAATTCACAGGGTTAAGGGGTCAAACAGCAGTTTCAGAATCATGTGATCGGGTACAAAGGCCCTCTACGAAGAAGCCCAGGTAGAGGAGACCGACGCCGGAGGAAATAAATAATATAGCACTACTCTGTCTAGAAATATATATATATATATATATATATATACGCACACAAGACTGCATCTGAAGGAGATAAAGGCACTGATTTAACAGAAGGCATTCATTCAAAAAAAAAAAAAACTCCCTAGGACAGAAAACAGTATACACCAATATCTTAATAAATAAACATCTCTTTCACCTCAATGTCTGCTGTGATGAAATGGTGGGTGGAAAAGCCCTATTGCTTCATATAAGGCAAACAAAAACCAAACTGATTCC